ATGATGAAAATCCATCATCTCATAGATGAAAATATCCATACAAACTTCACCTTTAGCTAACAGACTCTAATGAGAGGCTAAATGCTTTTTGGAGACCATTATAAATCACATCCATTGACAATCCTCTTCCCAAATTTTAGTACTGCCTCAAAAAGTTCAACGAATTTACCAGGGTGATCTAGCTTTTACAAACCAATGCTGACTGTCACTGATCAACTTGAGATTTTCAGGGTAAAAACTGAAAGAACTGCGGATGCTGTAAATCACTCCCTTTGAAATAAAGGCCAACAGTTAATTTGCCTTCCGTATTATTGTTGAACTTGGATGCTAGTTTTTTGTCATTTATGAACGAAGACTTAGCTTTCAGCAGTCTTTCTCTATTTAAATAATATTCAGCTTCACTGCTTCCTGCCAAAGTGCATTACCTCACATTTGCCCACATCATATTCTATCTGCCAAGTTTCTGCCCACTCGCTTACCCTGTCTCTCTCTGCGGACTCTGTGTCATTCTCATCACTCGCCTTTCCACCTATTTTGATGTCATCCACAAAACTGGCAATGGTACATTCATTTTCTTTAACCGAGTTATTAATGTATACTGCAAATAATTGTGATCCCTGGGGCACTCCACTAGCTACAGGTTGCCATCCTTAAAATGCCCCATTTATCCCGAATCTCTGTTTTCTATTCATTAACTAATCATCTTATCAATGCTAATTAACTACACCAACACCATGGCTTCTTCTCTTAATAAGGATCTGATGTGCAGTACCTTTTCAAACACTTTTGTGGCATCACTGAGTCTGTTTGAAGAAAGGCTTTCTGATTGCCTGGCAGCTCTGTGATGGAGGTGGGTGGGGTAGCCATTCTTAATAGGGCTGGTAGCTGAGTGGCACCACTTACTTTTTCACATTAGTGGAAACCTGCTGACTCCATAAAAATCCTGTACAATATTTCCTAGAACCATTAAGATGCATGCCAAATTAGATTTAGATGAGTGGTCAGCTAAAATACCTTTATCAAATGGAGACCATAGTACGATCAAGTTCAAAACAGCATTTGAGAGAGTGAGACATGAAAACAGCTACTAGGATTCCAGATTTGGTTAAGGCTGACTTCAATGTAATGAGACAGAAGCTGCCCAAATTAACTGAGAAAATCGGTTGATGGTTACATTGATAGAAGCTCAGTGTGAGGTGTGCAAGGAAGAATTTAATGTGATTCAGACCAGTTCATGTCCCTATGGGGTAAGGAATGTACAAAAAAAGTGCAAAAACAAATCTAAGTATATAGCACACAAAAATAGCACTGATCCCACCAAATGGGAGCAATAAACAGAATGATGAAGATTGATTAAAAAAGTAATAAGGTTGCAAAAATAGACTTAAAACAACATTTGAAGAGATATCAAAATGAACACTATTTATTTTACAGTTATTTTGCAACAGAGTTTGGAGAGGGGTAATGTGATTCCCTTGAAAATTGCTAGTGGTGACATTGTCGATGAAATTAAGGAAATGGAAGGCATGATCAATAATTACTTTGCAGCAATATTTACGGTACAGGAAGTACATGCTGGATCCCCAAGGAAACTAATATTAAATCAGGTACTTACCAACATTAAAACATACAAAATAACAGAAATGAAAACAATTGTAGGACCTTAAGTTGTAATCTTATAACGTTCTCTTGATTTTGGCATCATCTTTTCAGACTGGAAAATTACAAAAATTATTTTGCTGTTTAAGAAAAGTAAGAGAATGAACCATACGCCAGCTGACCAATCATTGGTCGTCAGGAAATTATGTGAGTTTATAATGAAAACCAAAGACCCTGAAAATCTCAGCCAGTCTGGCAGCATCTGTGAAGGAAAAGACAGAGTTAACGTTTCAGGTCCGGTGACCCGTCCTCAGAACTAGACCCGAAACATTAACTCTGTCCTTTCTTTCACAGATGCTGCCAGACCTGCTGAGCTTTTCCAGCAACTTTGTTTTTGTTCCTGATTTACAGCATCCGCAGTTCATTCAGTTTTTACCCTGAAAATCTCAAGTTGATAAGTGACAGTCAGCATTGGTTTGTAAAAGCTAGATCACCCTGGTAAATTCGTTGAACTTTTTGAGGCAGTACTAAAATTTGGGAAGAGGATTGTCAATGGATGTGATTTATATTGGTCTCCAAAAAGCATTTAGCCTCTCATTACAGACTGTTAGCTAAAGGTGAAGTTTGTATGGATATTTTCTAATCAACCTGTGAAGACGTGTCTTTACACACATCTAGAGGAGATGGCACTTGAACCAGATCCCCAGAGTAGGGACATTATCATTGTATGACAAGAGACCTTTTGTAGCTTGAGTATATTAAAAGCAAATTCAGCACAGTGAAAGCAAAAACAAAATAGGAATAATTAAGCAGGTCCTCTAATTAGCAGAATGTCTTGAGTAGTAGTCTATTCACCATTTTTATCCACAACTCGAGAGGAGGTGGTAACATAATACTGATGTCACTGGGCTAGTAGTCCAGAACCTCAGGTTAATATTCTGAGGACACAGACCCAAATCCCAGCATAGCAAACGTTGAAATTTGCATTAAATGAAGAGCCAGTTCACTGGTGACCACTGCTGATTGTCATTAAAAAATCTGTCTGGTTCACTATTGTCTTTAGGAAAGGAAATCTGCCATTCTTACCTGGTCTGGCCTATATGTGAATCCAGACCCACAGTAATATGGCTGACTTATAATTGCCCTCTGGACAATTAGAGATGGACAATATATTCTGACCTAGCCAGTGTTGCCCACATCTGTGAATAAATTGTATAAAAATGGACATGATAGGATAAAAAGCCATTTCTCCAGATTTGCCAATGACTCAAAAGATAGCATTGTGAATAATCTTGATGGGATCATAAAATTGCAGGGGATTTATTGAATGAACAAATAGGTTTCAACATGGGAAAATGTGAGTTCATCCAGTTTTGAATTAAAAAGTTAGACCAGAGTATATTCCAGATGGTGAAAATCAAGAAATAGTGGAGGGCCAAAGGGACCAGAGAGTTCATGTAAATTAAACATTAAAATGTCATAAACATTTATAAAAAATAAACAGAAAGGCAAATGGAAATCTAACTTCTTTATTGCGACGACTAGAATGCATGTGGGAAATGTATGCTACAGCTACAAAAACGTTGTTTAGAGCACACCTGGGCAAAATTTAAAGACTGCTTCCACAGTCAATCTGGTGTCAGGAGAACATTTAATCATGTGGGAGAGTGGTGAGTTTGAAACCCATTCCCTTTTGGCCTCTGCCCTGATTAAGTCTGTGAATTGGGAATCTTAAATAGGCAGTTAAAGCTCCTTTAAAGGCCTCATCCACTGCTGCCGATATTCACCATGTGGAAACAAACCTTGTCAAAGCTGTTTGAAGGCTTTAAGGACATTCTGCATATAAAGATGTGGTAGAACTTGTTACTTTTTTACATTGAGACTAATAAGTGATTGTTAACCAAAGATATTGAAGATCTGGAACAAAGGTGGATATATGGAGTTAGGTCGCAGATCAATCATGATCTCATTGTGTGGTGTAACTTGTCTTACACTTGTTCCTGTGTTCCTAACCCTCCCTTCATCGTAAAGTCAGAAGTGGGGCTGTCTGCTGATAATTGAACAGCTCCTAAGATACTAAAGCAGTCCACGTTCAATGCACGAGGTTAGGAAAAAGATTTGGACTAATAAGTGGCAAATAACATTTGTACCACTAAGTGCTAGGCAATAATCATTTCCAACAAGAAAGAGTCTAACCATTATCCCTTGACGTTCAATGGGATTACCATCAATGACTTGAGAATTACTATTGACCAGAAAGTGAACTGGTATAGCCATGTAAATGCTGTGACTGCAAGAGCTGATCAGAGCCTAGGAATCCTGCAGTGGGTGACTCACCTCCTGACTTCCCAAAGCCTGTCCACCATTTACATAGCATCAGGAGATCGATGGGATAGTCTCCAATTGCCTGGATGAGTGCAACCTCAACATCACTCAAGGAGCTTGATGCCATCCAGGACAAACCAGGTCAATTGATTAGCACCATGTTTGCAAGCAACCACTCCCTCCAACACTGATGCTCAGCAGTGTGTGCCATCTACCAGATGTATTGCAGAAACTCACCAAGGATCGTTAGCAAGACAGCAGGTGCCAAAACCACAACACCTAACATGTAGGAGGACAAAGCCAGCAGTTACATGGGAACACCACCATCTATAAGTTTCCGTCCAAAGTGCTCACCTTCCTTATTTGGAAACACAACACTGTTCCTTCAGTGTCACTGGGAAAAAACTGAACTCCCTACTTAACATCATTGTAGGTCTTTCTACATTCATGGACTGCAGCAGTTCAAGAAGACAGCTCACCACCACTTTCTCAGGAGCAACAAGGGTTGAGCAGTAAACGTTGGTCTAGCCTGAGATGCCACTTTCCGTGAGTGGACAAAAAAAAAACAGAATTTGTACATTCCATCAAATCACAGAATTGTAGCAGGTTGCCAGATCTCAATACATTGTTACAAAGATTATTCCAAGCAAGTATAATACAACAAACGTGAACAGGAGTCAACTACATAGCCCATGGAGCTGGCTTTGTGATTCAACAAGGTTATAGAGGATCTTTGCATCAACTTCACTTTCTTGCCTTTGCCCCGTTAGGCAACAAGATCGAAAGTTAAAGTTCTTTATATGGAACAACACCAAATAAAATGAACATTAGATTACTGAGGAAATGAACAAAGACAGGTTAGATGCTGAGACAGGATGAATAATTTGAGTTAATTAAAGGAGAGCATGACAGTTGTGGCTAACTAAACTGAGTTTCATGTGCTAATGAACCCTTCTGAAATCAACTTTTATAATAATTTGAGTCGCAGAATCTTTGATGCTAGCCCTCCAGGAGCTATTATAAGATGCCGTGTTCTGCTTATTGTTAGATTTTGGAAGGTACTTAAAAAGTCTCACCCAAGTAGTTGTCATCATAATCAGCAGGAGCCACTCCAGTCTGCTGTTCTCCATTTACTCTCCGCTTCACATCTCTGAAATCGTATCCATTTAAAATTTCAAAGATACCAGCAGTGATCACCTGACCTGTGTCCAGAAACATATGGAAATGATGTAAAGTAAACCACGAAAGTAATATGCGTCATTCCTCAAATGTTTATCACAATAATTTGCCATTTACAATATAAATGTAATGTGAATATCCAGATTTCACATCTCAGCACAGATTGTTTCACATGAAACAATGACACTGTTGCAGACTAAGGGTAAAAACCAATGAAAATTGTTTTTCTTCATCATTCCAGTGAGATGAAACCAAATGGCTGTCATGAATCCCAAGGAAAATTACTCTGTTAATCTGCAATTTACTCACTGTATTTGCACCCAGGATTCAAACTCATAATTCATCATTGATACAAACATAAACAAGGTTAAATCTTTTTAAGAGACTCAGTTGGGTTAAAACAAACACAGCCAATTCACACACCATAACAGCATGATTACCTTTTTTATTCTGTTTTACAAATGAATCCTACCAGTCCAGGGATCTTACATGTTTTGGTCAATAGGCTAAATTTGTGCAACGTGAAAACTAGAATTCTGTCCTCGTCATTGACAATACTTACTGGAAAAATGCTTGACATGACATATCTCAAATTAAATGATAACACAATTTCAATTCACCTCATAAATAGGTATCATTTTGTCATAAATATTTTCTCAAATAAAATAAGAAGTGAGTAAACTGCTATTTATTTGCAGCTATCCAGAGTATACAGTACAATGTACTCAGTATTGGGGATGGTCCAAAACGGATGTACAAGCACTTCCACACAACAGCCTGATATTGATGTCCATAGCCCCACTGTGGAGGCCCTGAGAGCCTCAATGAAATTGAATCCTATCAGGCACTTAATTGTCTGCCATTGAGTTCCCCGGGTTTTAAAGACAAAACTCCAACTTCTAAAGAGGTAGCAAGAACTGTAGATATTAGAGACAACAGTGTGGAGCTGGAGAAACATAACAGGCCAGGCAGCATCAGAGGAGTAGGAAAGTTGACGTTTCAGGTCAGGACCCTTTTCCAGAAATGGGGAGGGGGAAGGGAGCTCAGAAATAAATAGAGAGAGGAGGGGTGGGGCTGGGAAAGGTCTACCTGGACCATCTCTGATACCTCTCTCTCCTTCCTGGACCTCTCTGTTTCCATCTCTGGTAACCACCTCGAAACCGACATCTATTTCAAGACCACCGACTCCCACCTCCCCTCACCCACCTTCCTGCAAGAATGCGATCCCCTACTCCCAATTCCTCCGCCTCTGCCGCATCTGCTCCCAAGATGGGGCGTTCCACTCCTGCACATCCCAGATGTCCTTCTATTTCAAGAACTGTAACTTCCTCCCTCCTGTGATCGAAAATGTCCTCAGACGCATCTCTAGCATTTCCTGCACCTCTGCCCTCACATCCCCTCCCCACAACAAAAGTAAAGACAGAATCCCCCTTGTCCCCACATATCACCCCACCAACCTCCGCATCCAATGTCTCATTCTCCGCCACTTCCGCCACCTATAATCTGACCCCACAACCAAAGATATATTTCCCTCCCCACCCCTATATGCCTTTCATAGGGACTGCTCTCTCCATGACTTCCTCAACCACTCCACACTTGCCACTAACTCCACCATCCCCAGCACCTTTCCCTGCAACCGCAGGAAGTTCTACACCTCTCCCCTCACCTCCATTCAAGGCACAAAATAAACCTTCCATTTTAGATAGGGGTTCATCTGCACATCCGTCAATTTGGTCTACTGCATCAGCTGCTCCCGATGTGGCCTCCTCTACATCGGTGAGACCACACGGAGGCTCGGAGACCGTTTCGTACAACATCTGTGCTCTGTAGACAACAAACAACACCTTCCGCTCGTGAACCATTTTAACTCCCCTTCCCATTTCCTGGGTGACATGTCCATCCTGGGCCTCCTCCAGTGTCACAAGGACGCCACCTGCAAACTGGAGGAGCAGCACCTCATATTGTGACTCGGTAGCCTACAGCCCAAAGGCCTAAACATGGATTTCACCAGTTTTAAAATCTCCCCACCCCCGGCCTCATCCCATGTCCAACCCTCCCTCTCATCCCTGCCTCCTTCCTATCCATCTTCTCTCCCATCAATCTGCCCCTCCCACCGATCCGCCCCTCCCACCTCACTGACCAATCCCCATCACTCCCTACCTGCACTCACCTGGCACCATCCCACCTACATTCCCCTCCTGACCCCTCCTCTCTCTATTTATTTACCAGCTCCCTTTCCCCTCCCCCATTTCTGAAGAAGGGCCCTGACCCGAAATGTCAACTTTCCTGCTCCTCCGATGCTGCCTGGCCTGCTGTGTTTCTCCAGCTCCACACTGTGTTATCTCCAACCTCTAAAGAGCTGTCAGGCATTCAGAGGGGCAGTGTGGAGGGTGAGGGCTTACCACTTATGGGACACCATTGGCAGAATACCAGTAGCAGGGAGAGAAGGTCATTAAGTGATCCATTAAGGACACTGGGCACTGACACTAACTGGAACTTCCCAGTCGGCAGTCAGACCCCCTTGTCGTGGCCAAATCTCAACCTCATATAAAGACAAAGATGTCACCAGTTCTTTTTACAATATTGAGCTGATTTTGGCCCTCCAGCTTCTGGAGGCCACCCACCCTCCTTCATTGGATTGAACAATTTCACACATTGACACTATGGAAACGGTCCTGATGTTTATGACCTTACCTGGAAACAAGGTTCCTGCCCCAAATATGTTTTTTTCTGGAATAGTTGGGGCACAGACATTCTGCAGATGGGCGAGCTAACCACTGAGGGAGGAAGATCCAATCCCGGGATTTGAACTGATTAATGTCAGGGATGTAGATATTTCCTAAATTTAAAGGTAGCCTCGTAACACAGATGCTGTGGCTCATAATTGCTGCCTGGTCTAAATCTTTGCTTACTTGGGAGTAAAACTTATATTGATTCAAAACTATGAGACTCCATTTTTTAAAGCCTGTTGTACATCAACATACACGGACCGAGCGCAGCATGCCCTGGAACATTAGGTGAGAACAGCAACTCAGTACAGATCCAAGCTAAACGTGGCCCTTTGGTAGTAAACCACAGAATCACTGTTGGGAGGCCTTAGGCAAGCAGGAAGCAGTCAGGTTGCTAATGGGGCACTTTGCTTTGGGAAAAACAGGCCAATTATTCTGGTGCCCATTAATCCCTTGGACTTTCTATATTATTTAGAGAATGGAAATGACTGCACAAAACAAACACTTTATTCACCTCAAGGGATCCTATTAAAATTCTTCTGCAGTATAATTTCAACCTTCTGTCCTCAATTGTCATATTGATTTTGTGTTGATCAGTTGGCAAAATCTGAACAAATCAAAGAGGCTAGAAGTGATCAGTCACATTTGCAAATTTAATACATTAATCTGCATTATTAATGAATGCAATTTTTCCCAAATGCTTATTAAATAACTGGTGAATACATCTTTATTCAGAGCCAGCACTGGTAATTGGAACATAATCTATGACACAAAAGGAGTGATCTAAAGTCACAGCTTCTCAGGAGAATGACATTAGATGACAGGCCTTTAACAGGTTTACCTAAATTCAATTTATCATTTCAACATTGTAAAAAAGGATTAGTGACATCTTTGTTTATACACAACATCTGGCACGCTCGGGAACTAATCTATTCCTCGGTGCCGAAAAACCCTCTTTGAACCATCTGTTTAAGCATGTTTTCTTTAAATTGGTGCTAAAGCAATGAAAGTGAGATCTATCACCAAAAGGTATATCTATAGAAATAATTTAATGATAGGATTTCTCATTCTCATTTATTAATGTATGACATAAATGGCAAATTTCAGGGACACTTCTTGTATAATGACCTCAGATAGTCAGGGATAAGTAAAATAATGGCCCAGATCATCCAATATGGGGTTTGGCCTCAGACTGAATCTGTGTTGCTGATTGATGTCAGAATCCTGAGAAGGTCCCTGCATAGACACATCCACACTATGTGTATGGGAAGATTAAACTGCAACATCCTGGTTTTGTCCTGCCCAGACTACTCCACGATTACATGACAGTGGGATCTGAAGGGTAGAACTACACAGACTTGAACTGTTTGCCGTTTACTTACCCCGGCTTTTAAATGGATTTACTTCAGCGCTGCATTGTAGTTACAAAATCAGCTGAGCAGTGTAACTCTTAAGTTAAACAGCTACTGTGCAAAGCCCTCCATCACCCACTGCAATATTCACTCCTCTCCTAGAAAATTAACCCACCTAGCTCTTAGCAATGCTTACTTCCCAACCGCCCTTTCAATGGTGCTGATCAACTTACCCACTCTGTTGTGATTAGAATGAGGGCCAGGTGAATCTTATTGACTATGAGATCTTTGATTGGGATTGTTAACATGGGAGCTCTGGCTGACAGTTATAAACAGGAGATTCAGAGAATCTCCTCATGCTAGGGACTGGTTCTGAGCTGACCCGTCAAAGGCCACGTACTGTACGAGTGTAAATAAAGGCTGACTTGATGATGGGATACCAGCCTCTATGCAGTTATTTCACAGGCAATGAGAGAAAACAGTACGCTCCTGAAGAAAATTCATTCGCAAGTCATTTCTTGGGTTGGGATAAGCATTTCCAGCATCATGCATTTATTTGGGAAGCTTGAGTCATTTGATACTGCCGTCGAAGATTAGGCCAAGTATGTGGAAAGAATCCGTTATTTCTTTCCAGGCAAATGACACTCGGGCAGACATGAAAGCAATGAGTAATCCTTCTGACTGCATGCGGACCCATAGCATTTTTGGTTATTAGGACCCTAACTTTCCCTGAGGCACCAGACACTAAAAGCTTTCAAGAGTTAATGGAATTAATTAAGGAATATTACGACCCCAAGCCTCTTCTAATTCTGAGATGCTATTAGTCTTATTGAGCTGTTTGAAAACCAGGTGAATCTGTATCAAAATTTTTGATGAAGTTAAGACGACTGGCAGAGGCATGTGATTTTGGGTTAACCCTGAATGAGATGCTGACAGACAGTT